AATCTCTTTGAACGTGCTTAACAATAAGATTCGTCTCCTGAACCAGATCCTTGAACTTTTTGAGAGTTGGGCTAATGCAAGCTCTGTCCGTGTATAATGCCTCAGTAATTGCTTTGCAATCGGTATGGAGAATGAGAGGAGTAGTTACCTTGTTCTGAGCCCACTGGATTGCATTGATAATGTTTTCAAGCTCAGCTGCAAAGATGTCTGTAGAGTTCAGATTGGTTGTAATGCTAGCCATGAAAGTACCTTTGCCATTCCTAAGGATCGCTCCCCCAGCTGCTTTACCATTCATAATTGAGGCGTCAACATGGAGATATGTGATATTGACATCCCAGAAAGGCAAAGAGCATTCGATTTTAATCTTTTTATTAAAAAGAGGCGATAGACCCAAAGTAATGAGGGTGTCATTATTTTGGGCCCCCGCTAAACTGCTGCTCCAGTTAAAAATATCAAAGGTAATCCTCTGTATGGTTATGATTGTGACAGGCTGATCTCCATCATACAGATAGTTGTTAAAAGATTTCCAAATATTCCAGCAAATGATCCCTGGAATGACACCAATAAGCTTTCCAAAGATGGTGTTATCATTAGCTTGAAGCCACCAATGGAATAGAGATGAAAGAATTCCCCTTCCTTGTGTAGGGGGAACATCAAGCAAAGAGGAAAAATGATTCCAGATTTGTCTACTACATGGGCATTCAAAAAGAGTATGGAAGCCACTGATGATATCATTCTTACAGAAGGGACACATTGATTGAGGGAAGATTAACATTAAATCTTTTGAGGTTTTCAGGAAACGGTAAGCAGTGGTTAGTAAGTTTCCAAAGAAACATAGAGATTTTACCAGACTGCTTCGGCTGCCATATATAATCTGAGGACCAACAGTGAGAGCCGTCTTCCTGTATCAGTTCGTAGACCTTCTTGATTTTAAATAAACCATTGGAGCACATCTTTTCCTGTAGTTCGTCATCAGTTAAGTAACTCCATCTATGTTCCATGTCCACAATGATTTTCCATGTAGGGGAATAGTGTTGATAAACTCTCCCCTGGAGCCCCTTGG